CCTTGGAACCAGGAATCCCTTTTATGATCTACTTCAGATTCATGGACTCTTCACACCTCAGCACAGGCTTGCCTTCCCCTTTGCTGCACCCACACCATCACTGCTCCTGTTTTGAGACCATCTGTTGTGGTATCACAGCAGCAAGAGTGGTGGGCATGAGAAGAAAAAAATCTCTGAAAAAGATTCTTATTCTGATTAAAAAAAAAGGTAGGGACAGGCCATGCTCAGGGCCAGTGTATAATTTTCATTTCATAGGCATTAGAAATCGGATTTTTCTGAATCTGAAAATCCCCCTGAAGTCGCTGTGAAAGTAAAAAGAACTCACAAAGCTGGTGTTGATTAGACCTGTGCTATATCAAGACAGAACCWTATCAAATTAAAGGACATGGCAAAATAGGGCACTGGTCTCAGATGGCAAAGTTGAAAGCCTACTGGCAGGATTAAATCACTATAAATCCCGCTCTTRAAGTACACGCCTGAGTTAGGATAGCTATCATTGTATTAACTGCACAGCCTTGCTGTCTTGTGCTAAATTATCTCAGTGAAGGAGTACACTCGAATTTACAGCTGGAGTGATGGGTTTTCCAAGTTTCACAGAAATGCAACTGGGTTTTCTCTTCCTCAAGGGAAGTGGAATTCAGTCCCCAGACTGAACTGTTTCTCCAGGCTGCTAACACTGGGTCTGTGGATGGATATGGATATGGTTTAATATTAATTTGTCTCATCAGTAGGCTGAAGTGATAACTGCTTTGGAAGGTTGAGTTTAATTCTTGATGATTAAAGAAATATTAGTATTGACATAATAACTGCACCGTGGTGGAAGTTTTAAAAACAAAGCAAAGAACGACTACATAATAATGTCCCTTTCTGAGCACACTGTCTTTACCTTCTGAAACAGAGAGCTCAGCCAGTTTGTGTGGCAGGTCTGAAGTCCCAGCACCAGCAGGGGAGCCCAGGATATCTGGTAAGGCGTTCCGGCGCCCTGCCCGTCCTGATGCTGCAAAATCTGTGACCACAGGCTCCACATCAGTCATTGCTGAYTCCTTTCCTCATAGCAACATCTGCATATGGAACAAACAGAAGAAAACAGCTGTAGCCTCATGGATGCTAATCACCTGTTCAACAATACAATAGCCAGAGGCTTTGCCCAATGGTTCTTTTGTTATTAAAAGCCATACATTTCAATGCAGAGTGTTTAGGCTTTATTTCTGCCCCTGAAAAAGATGGAAGATTGCTTGTGCACTTCCTTACCGTGCCATTTGCACATCAGACTAGCACAATGAACAACTCTGCAYCTACAATAGACCTGTGAATAGGATCAGCAACAGCCCTTTCTATCAGCCATCTGTATGTCCTTTTATGACCTGTTCCCTCTTTTTAAGTGCTTTGACATTCAATAACTTGGAAGAGAACTGTTGTCATGCAGTCTGTATGAAGTAAAGCATGTTTTCCTTATTATGAATCTTGTTTAGATTCTTGTTTAGAATCTTTTTAGAACAAAATCATTTCACAGAAGAGCAAGTTATTTAAAATGACCTCTCATAACACAAACTAAAACTCTTCATAGAATTTCTTTATCCTGAACATATCAAACCACTTGTTTTCCTCTGCTCCTTGTTAGCCTGGTTTAACCTTCGCTTATGCCTGTGACTTTTATTTAATAACTAACTGAATCCCGGAAATAATAGAACCAGCAGTACTCTGCTCCCTTGATCCTGTCTCAAAGCCCATTGAACTGAATGGGAAAACTGCTGACCCCAATGGGCTTTGGATCAGGCCTAGGGATGTTTGCAGGATCACACCCGAGTCAATGGATTAAGTGTGTACACCTAGAGMAGAAGATACTTGGCTGCAAGTGGCACACAGAGACAGAGTGTGAAAACTGCCATTAGCAGTCACAAAAGGCTATAAAACCAGAATTTGCATAATAATGTGATAATCAACAGAGCAATTTATAATAATTAGGCATCCATTACTCAATTATAAACAGTAGTTACTTGCTCTACATTAATGAAATTCTGTTTGCAATATGGGAGCAGGAATGTTGTCTTTTTGTAAATATGGTCAGAGCTTAGTGTGGGAAGGGATACAGATGGTATTTGAGACCAATCTGATGGAAGGCTGTCAGCTTTCGGTTGACAACTGGCTGYATTTAGACTAAGAACTGGATATGGAAAAGGTCAATTATGTTAGTGTTGTTCATATAAGAAGCAGAGCATCACAGTCCCCCTTTTAAAATTCTGTTAGGCTTGGGAAATATTACTACTTTCATTTCAAGGATAGAAAAAAAAATTATACAAATAGATATCAAACCTGACTTGCTCTGATGTGCAGGAAGGAATAGGCAGAAGTTATATTACTGATGCTGACCTGCCATTTCTACCACAAACACACTCTTTTACTCCCTCAAAGTGCCTTTTGGCTGTGTCAATCCAAAACCAACAAGAAATACTCTTCTTTGTATATCTGGGTACCTTGTAATAGAAGAAATGAATCCTTCTTGGCAAGAAACAAAGGCACAAGAAGGACTGCCAAGTCTGAAAGATKACCTGAACATGCAAATAAACTACTTTCTTTAACTACGGTCAGTAAGTGAAAGTTCTGAGCTGGAGATTTAGCAGAAGGTTCCTGTCCTGCATGAAGCCTGGTCAAATCCAAATGAAACCTTTTTGTCGGCGTCAAATTATAGAAACAATATGTGGACATTAAAAAATGACACATCACAAAACACATAAAAATCATAGAGTCGTCAAGGTTGGAAGAGACCTTTAAGGTRATGCAGTCCAATGGTCAAATATGCATCAGCATTCCTAGTTAGTTTTAGCGTTATACTAGCAGAGGGTGAGATCAGCACTTGGCATGAAATATGAAAATAAGGAGAATGAATCCATGTTTACAGACAAAGTCTCATGGCTTTTTGGGGGTGTTCATATTTACTTAACTGTAGGTATCCTAAACACTTTTCTTCATATGCTCACCAGAGCAAGTAAAGAGATTGTAAATTACACTTCAGAACAGAAAATGTTTGGGGTCTTCTTTTGTTTAGTAAAATTGTTAAAAGTACTCTCAATGCCAAAATACCAGTACTCTTGCAACTCATTTCCATTTCATTTCAACCATTTATTAAGTAGCGCCAAAAATACTTTTGTTAGTAGACTGCTGTTCACGTAAGATTTACAGAATSATWTAAACATCAAAATRCACTTTCTCRAGCCTGCCTTGAGGACTTTTTTCTWCCTCTTTTGTCTCTTGCATGGATGTTTTGGCACCTAAATTTTTTAAATGGAGAAAATCTGGTCTACAACTCATGCCCTATGGAACTACTCTCTTCTGCAGCACAGTTTGCAATACAGTTTGCACTTGTGCATTTGTTTCAAGGCCCTCCCCTTCCTCTCCAGCTCACCTCTTTCTCTGATGTAATCTCCCTGCACTGCATAATACTAGACAACCTAGGAAGATGATGAAGGACACAGTCTGGCGTTCCTTCCTGTAAGTGAATTTTGATTTATGCACTTGATTAAAAGAGTATGCAGAGACAAATCTAGAACATCTGTCAGGCAGAAAATCGACTGATCATTATCCATCTGTCTGGTGGCCMTAAGTCAAATTTAACCATCTAAAAATACAACATCCTTTATGTACATAACACTTACCATTAAGACTTTTCACCTTTGTTTTTTCTATCTACACTGCACTAACACAGCATGTACTCTAAGTATATTTAAAAGATGAGGGACTACCCTAACAAGCCTGGAATTGATATTATGAAACATAAGTCCATTTATAGGTCCATATAAACCAAAACTTAAGCTCAACTCCCAATATATGACAGACACTGGTCAAAGTAGCTTGCTGCTATACTTGATAGAAATGCCATTTTGTTCTTTAATGTTCTGAGGAATTTCTTCAGTTCCATTCTGATGCTCTCTTCTTACAGTATTTTCCAGGGCCTACATCCAAATCCAAGTAAGGATACAGAGTTTCTCTGCTCTTCATCTGTTTCTACCTTTAATTTKTTTTAACACATTCATTGGGGAATATCTACATTTCTGGCATCTCTTTGTATCTGTTAAACACAGTATTATTCATGCCTCCTCACAGAGTAAACAATAATTACAATGTGCACAGCATCTATTTCTCAAATCAACTCCTCCTCCTGCTGACAACATCTCCTTCRGCTTCACTGAACCCATTTTGCTCTTGTCTTATCCAAGATAAAGATACTCACATGTTGCCAATGCCTGTGTGCAGCTGCTTCCCTCAGTTTCCAAATTACTGTTGTCATTTATTTCCTGTGTCACTGTTCACCAGACCAATGAAGCTCAGCTCTGACAGAATAGTGCCAGATTTCCAAATCACAAGGTTCTGCACTTCCCGAGCTTCCTTTTTGCCATAGCAAAAGCCCAGTGCACCCAAAATTATTAGGTGACTAGGTGGAAGAGTTGGGCAGGGAKGCAGGCTGTCTGCAGAGGGTCAATAGTAGGAAGGCAGGTGCACATCTACTCAAAAAAAGCTCACCTACTATAGAGACTGAAGGCTTTGACTGGCATCCCAGCTAGCACTCCATCACCAGGACTAACTTTGCAACTCATTACTGGGCCAAGACAGCACTAAGGAGGTTTTGGGAATATTAGAGTAATCCTATCATTTATGCCTCGGAAATCCCTGCAGGATCACCCAGAATACACAACATACCACTCAGGTGTGTGTGGAAATGCTCTGCTTGTGAAAACTGACTACGGCCAAAAGCAAAACTCAGTTCCTGATCTATCAGATATTCAAGTAAGTGTCTTCAGAWAAAACAATGGCAGGTAAATTACCAGTGGCATTTTCTCTAAAGGATAGGTAGTTAGTTAATTTTTGAGTCTTCTTTTGCTGGCACCATAGCCATCCCTTTGGRCGAAAGTGAGTCACAGACGATAGTGAGAATTTATTTTAATAAATGTCAGAAAAAGAACAAWTCATTCTCCTGAAACAATTTGTATTGAGAATCAAGGGAAATAATGTTTCAAGGCGCTCAGTTGTAGCAGGTGCCACAGTCCACATTAAATGTCAGTGTTGTCTCTTCCTCACTCTTATCTGTTAGAAAATAGATAAATCACCACCTTAAGTATTTGTGAAAGCTATTTTTGATTCTGMTCTTTCTACTGTTGAACACAGACAAAACACCGGATTTGTTCTGCTTGGAAGGACAAACTATTCCTCAATAAATGTCAAAAGGTTCCGAACATTGGCGCTGTGACAACTYCACTCCACACAGGAGCCTGAAAGACCAAACACATCACTCCTTCCTATYCAGGCACATTTGTCAAAAACTTATGAACAGTCTCTGCCTGTGCTACCAGAGAAAGCTACATTTCCAAAACACTGTTCTTTCTGAATGTCCTTTAGCGGGAACAAACTGGAAAGCATGAAATCCTTTCAGGAAGAGATGAAAAATGCAATAGCCAAGTACTACTTTCAGAGCCAGACTGACCCATTCTGTGTCTTAAGGGTCTCTTACTGTAAGATGAGTTTCAGCATCTTAATTTTTTCAGAAAAAAAAACTTTAATCCTTTAAGTGATGTTTAGTTTTTGTTTACTTGTAAGTAATGAGTGTTGTCCAAGCACCTCTACCCCAAAAGCTTGTAGGTTCAAAACTTTTTAAGTAAGGAAAACAGAAAATTTATTGAATGAAGTGCTACCCCCTGTGCAACTGATGAAAACCATGTCCTCTTGCTATGCAGTGCCATGCTTTCACAGCCACTTCTGCTGCAGCTGCATCCTCATGGTTTTGTGTCCTCTTACCAAAGGTCTCAGAATAGGAACATTCTCATTRTACATGCTCACATAATCCTTATGCTTTATCCTGAGGCATTTCTGGACCTTAAAAAAAGGGGAAAAAAAAAAAGACCTAGGAATATCTATGCTTTTACTGGACACTAGAATAAATTTTGTAAGAAAAAAATCTTTTATATGTTTTTTTTGCATCAAGAACATTGGCAACACACTGCTAACCCTACTGCTGGGAAGCACACAGAAAGATAAGCAAGGATATGCATCTTTACCATATGTTTATCCA